TAAAAATTTTCAGAATGCTGAACATGTTGTTACATATTCTCTGTATTTCATCATTAGCCAATAGGCTTTTATATCCTGGAAAGGTGCAGTGTAAGGTAAAGAAGTTTTTAAAAGCCATACAGTATAAAAGGTTGATATAAATTCAGCTATTGCCTGCACTACTTTTAATCGTCTGTCAATTCATATGAAAGCTGCAACTTAATATCTGAATCTTCAGATAATAGATAGGACATAAAATGTGTGAGACATGCACCCTAGAGTTTGAATTTGAAAAATTTGTTCAGGACTTAGGTACATCATTAAAAACCATTTCGCAAAACTTTCTTCAATCTAGTATCTAGGGCAGGGATTTCTAAGAAAATGTTAGCAATAGATTAGGGATCATATTTAACAAACTTTGAAGAGTTAATGGTACTTTTAATATCATTTCAGTTTAATTGGAACTGTTTGAACATTAAGTTTTTTAGAGATTTTTCACTTAGTTTTTCACAGAAATGTTCATAAATATGTATCCTGCAAACCAGTTCTTATAAAATTGAGTTTTGTTTATGATTAAACCCAAAATTAATACCTGAAAGTCTTCTTGTAACAAACTGCTTTGTAGCAGTTGTATCAAAATGTAAACTTTTCACATCATCAAATATTCTTCCAGTATTTTAATTAAAGCATCATACTGAGCAGTACCACGATCAATTGCTGAAATGCCAAGCAGCTTTTCCCCATCAATATTTACAGAGGCTCTTTTTGATTTTTTACCTTCTGTTATATCTTCTATAATTTTCCCATCAAAATGTCCTATTATGAAAGAAGTAGTTTTGCTGGTAGCAATAAATGAGTCAATGAAAAATCAGTGACATTTCTACCTCTACTTACAAATAAATCTGTGCATACATGCATTAGATCTCTTGGTGGAACATTTGAAAGACTTTCGATTAAATGAGTGATATTATCCCAACAAAAATTATGGTATAAAAATAATAAAACAAATAAACTTAAAAATAGTTATAACATTTACATCAATTCAAAATATAACACATACCACCATGGTAACCAAAGTACTACTGCTACATTTGTTTTATTGTTCAATAATAAGAAATTTTTTTTGATTTAACCAGAAATTAAGCAGACAAACCACTTTTTAGTTATAAAAGTAAATGAGCCTGCAATTATTTGTAAATTTTGCTGCAAATTTTGTTGTAGTTGTCAATATAGGATTTTTTGTTGTTGTAATATCCTCAAGACCTTGTTCAATGGGTTTTTTTTTTATGCAATTATTCTGCTTGTATTATAAATATACTAATTGTTAAAACAAAAAAAGTAAACTTAGACCACTTTGTCTTACAAAGATGCCTTCTAAAGAAACAGTTAGAAGCACTCAAGCACAATAAAGTTCTGCTATCCTTTGGGTTTATAAGGTTTTATATACTTATTATATATATTCACCTCAGTTATGTGGTGGGTATGTAACTCAGAACTGTATTTTTATATGATAAATTTTAACATAAATTATGATGAATTTTCACATAATAATATTGTAAAAAATACAGAAGTTCAACTTTACCAGAACAACTTTATGTAGACGCTAGTTTTCTCTGTTTTTACTCAAGGAGTTCCGTAGCCCTAGCGGCACATTTTTTTGTAAATCATAAAATATAGTCTTGAAGAGTATGAGTTTAGGTTGTATTTTCACAATGCAATAATTCACATGCAGTAACTTAAGTATCAAGTGATTGCGTGTGATTCTGTAAGATGTATTTGCGAAAAGCAGCCCAATATGAAAGTGGTAAAATATTTTGGTGAAGATAGAAAAAGTGATCTTTATAAAGTAATTGTTGAAAAAAGAAATTGATGAGTGTTTTATCTCAATGCACCAATCTGAATTTAAAATAGGAGCTGTTGTGACCGATAACCATTCTACCAATGATAATGCATTTTCATAGTTTCATAAAGTATATACTGGAGATGGAAAATCATTCATTTATCATCCAGTTTATAAAGGAGTATTTAAAACATACTTATCATTTGATATACTCCGTTTAATAAAAAATTTAAAAAACAACTTGTTGGTTTCAAAAAAAAATGTTATTCCTTTTTTTTTCATTTGATTTTTCCAGAGACTAAGTTGAGGTTACTGCTGGTTATATTGGCATGGAATATGTTTTATAAAGTTAATGAAAAAGTTCATTTACTAAACAGGAACTAAAAAAAAGCAAGAAAAATTAATTATTAGGTCACTTATTTTGGAATGTTTAACATAAACCAAACAATCTTCTCATGCTCTAATTACAACACTACAAGCAACTGTATTTCTTATGAGTGATTTTCTTTAAGAAGGCTATGCATTGGTTCTTACTTCCAGTTTACAAAGTGATTATTTGGAGCTAAGTTTTAGTAAGTATAGATAAATGAGCGGAGGTAGATTTTTTGTGAGTCTTTTGCCAGAAGTATGATCTATTATTTTTTCTAAAAATAATTTCTGGGAAGAAAATGTTTATCATACATTTGATAATCCTAATTTAAAAGTTTTATGCAAGATATAGCTTTGTTGTGTACATAAACACTAGTGTCAGCTTTTTAAAGATAGTATAGAAGTTGCTGGCACTATAGCAAATTACATTTTTAAAAAAATAAAAAAAAAAGACTTGAATGTTAAGGTTAGTATAAAAAAACTAAAATAGTTAATAATAAATACCTAAAAATTTTATGCAGAGAATAACCTATATATCCAACTCAACCTCTATCTGATTTTATTTGTCATCTTTTGAGTATTTTATTTGTCATCTTTTGAGTATTTTATTTGTCATCTTATGAGTATTTTATTTGTCATCTTTTGAGTATTTTATTTGTCATCTTTTGAGTATTTTATTTGTCATCTTATGAGTATTTTATTTGTCATCTTTCGAGTATTTTATTTGTCATCTTATGAGTATTTTATTTGTCATCTTTTGAGCATTTTATTTGTCATCTTATGAGTATTTTATTTGTCATCTTATGAGTATTTTATTTGTCATCTTATGAGTATTTTATTTGTCATCTTATGAGTATTTTATTTGTCATCTTATGAGTATTTTATTTGTCATCTTATGAGTATTTTATTTGTCATCTTATGAGTATTTTATTTGTCATCTTATGAGTATTTTATTTGTCATCTTATGAGTATTTTATTTGTCATCTTATGAGTATTTTATTTGTCATCTTATGAGTATTTTATTTGTCATCTTTTGAGTATTTTATTTGTCATCTTATGAGTATTTTATTTGTCATCTTATGAGTATTTTATTTGTCATCTTATGAGTATTTTATTTGTCATCTTATGAGTATTTTATTTGTCATCTTATGAGTATTTTATTTGTCATCTTTCGAGTATTTTATTTGTCATCTTATGAGTATTTTAGATGTTATTTCTCCTATTCTGATCAAATGTTGAAGTTTTTTTTTAATTGAAGAATATGCAGAACAGCTTTTAAAGAAGTTCTGCATATTCTTATTATGGCGTTCTTTTACTTATGAAAATCGCTTTTTACTTGTGAAAATCGAAAAGAGTGAGGAATTAAATATAGATCTCGTATTGTTAAAAAAAAAAAAAAAATTATTACAATTTGCAAGGAAAGCAGAATAGTATTAAAAAAAAATTGCTCGAAAAACGGAATAATATCGAAATTTTTTTGATCGAAACGTTTTTTTGGGATTAATATCGAATTTAAATTTGAAGGAAATAAATCGAAAAATAAATAAATTGATATTCATTTAAAAGGAATAATGTCAAAAATGCCTTTACATAATAATATCGAAATTTGGATTTAGGAAGTATAAATAAATATTTGTTCCTAATTAAAATCTATGTTATTCCTAACAATTGCAATTATAATAAATACAAAATTACAAACCTTTGAATTTTTTTTCCAATGGAGAGTCGTGAGTAGTTATTTTAGCGACAATAAGGTCATTTTAGAGACATATAGGGTTATTTTAGTATCATGTTGATATACACTTTTCTGTGTCATTGGTATAAATTGAAACAGGCAACCAGTTAGCAAAAAATCCAGAAAAATGTAACGTAATTACTCAAAGAAAATCTAACTTTTATTTAACCATTTTAATAAAATAAGAATAAAACATCTATATTGCAAATAACGACTCATAACCATAACAAGTACTCAATCTTTTAAACATGAGCCGTAAAAAAAAGCCGCCTTTTTAATTTTTTACGAAAAATGCAACAAATCAAACTGTGTAATAATTTAAGTAGGCTATGTGCCAACTAGTTCTGGTCTTCCCGAGTTTTTCATATTTTTGGTTATTTCTCATTAAGTTATTTTTTCTTTACACAAAATTATTTTGCCAAAAGCTAAATCTGAAATAATACCACGTTCTTATAATTTCTGTTTTAAATTTTAGTTTTTAAAAAAGACACATATTGATAACATTTTTTATAACTACTTTCAGCTATAAAAAATGTATATATCCTGAATAAATATCATTTGAATAATAAATCCTGTGCTTTTTTTTTTTGTGCACAAAATTACGTTTTTATGGTACCAAGTATGTCTTGTTTCAAAATATATATTTAGATTTTTTCTACGACAATTACTATTGTGTTAATATTATTTATGCATAGATGACATTTTCCTAAGATTTCAAGAAGTTTTTGTTGAGGTTTTTTATTGCTTAGTTTTTCTAAGTTGTAATGTTATTATAGGATTTTTTTTTTAGTGAAATTTTCTCTTTAGTTTGATCTACTTTATATCATAATATTGTAATTACATTTGCAGTTTTAGCGCCATCACTTGGTATATATTGTTTTTGGTCTGATCAAAGAAACTATAGTTTTTTAATAATTTTTTTAAAGGGTGATTTAAAATCAATGTGGAACCATCCTACTTCATTAAAACATCCTGCTTCGATCTCATCAAAACATATTATTTAATTTATTATCTTTATATTTTCAAATAGTTGTAGAAATCAAATGTATAAAAAATATTGTATTATATTATGTAATTGATATTTATTTGTAAGTTTATTTATAAATATTTTGATTTTATACGTTTTTGTATTGTAAAATAAAATCTATGTAAGTTCTTATAAAATATAAATCAATTTTGACGAGTTAGTTTTTATATTTATGTTTTTTTTTTTTTTTGTATATATATTTTTTATAATCGTTACCATTTCTAAAATAAATCTTTTTATTAAACCTTTTTAGTGTAAATCTGGAAACAAGTAAAAAAAAAACATTGAGTGAAATGTCATATATCGTTGTAACTGTCTGAACGCCTCTAGAACGCGTGAATTACTTAAAAAGTTGCTAAAAACAAGAATTTAAAAAAGCAAAAAGCAAACATTTCTGTTGAAAACATCTCTACTACAGGCTTTTTCATCGCGCAACCGGATTTTTTTGTGGAGGCCTACTTTTTTACAGCAAAAAAGATAACTTCGTAATTTTAAAACTAAAAAGTATTTTTAATTCTTTGTATAGCTTAATAATTTTTTTTTTTTTTTGATGAAAAAAGAAAAAGAAAGAAAAAATGTTGAAATAATCTTAGTAATAAACAATGTAAATAAAAGGCAAAGAAATTTTTTCTAATTTAAAGTTTCACTCATTTACATAATTATATATTATTTCACCTTTAGTTTTGGCTTTTACAGCTAAATAAAAAATTGATATTTTTTTATATTGAGCAGAAATGTTATTAAACTAAACAAAGAATATTACATAAATTTTGATTAAAATTGTTAACAAAATCTGAAAAAAAAACTACAATATGAAACTTTTGTAAAATAGTATACTATATATATGATAAATAGTAGACAACTAAGAAGACTTTTAAGAGATTTTTAATATTTTTAGTGCAGGGTCTTTGCCAGATCTTGAAGTGACAGTGGAACATATTTTTTTTTTTAATGTTGCTCAATATTACACAATGATGTTCTGATATAATCATAAAAATACTACTTAAAGATTTTATTCAAACTTGATCTTTAACTATTTAAAAAATTACAAAACAAAAAAATTTCCATTTGCAGTAATTATCAGTTGAAATTTTTAATTCACCACGATCCAAAAATTTAGAAAACTGATCATATTTCTGATAATAGAACGTTGTTTGATCTAAAAGTTCATAACCAGTTCGTTTTTTACCATTTCGTGTAACATAACCAGCAATATGAATAAGTGACATTTTGACATCATCAGCAATGGAAGATTCTAGATCTTGCAAGTTATCAAGAATTTTGCAGCAGCCTTCAGACAGTTTGTAATGGCAAAACGCACATTGATAAGACACGAGACTTGTCAATATCTACTTTTAATTTCAAAAGTAAAGGTGCATGTTTGATACATAATTTTTCAATAACGTGTGGAACACTAAGAAAAAATGTACCACCAGAACCTTGACGAAGTATACTATATACTTTTTCTAGGTGATCTGATGTAAACTGACCAAGAAGTACATAGTTTTGCGTAGTGTTAAGTAAATATCTATATAAATCTACCAGTCCGTAACAAGTTTGGTGTATAGAAGTTGCAGTATCTTTAGAAAGCTGTTTAATACGCTTACCTTTGGGACCTGCCATTTTAAGTGGGAATCACCAAATTGTAGTATTTAATTTAAAAGGTTGTCATCAGGATTATTGATAACAGCCTGTAAAGGATCATTGTGCCTTGTATCAGCATCAATGGCTTTGACATTTAAAATTTTCCCCCAAATAATAACTTTATTGATAAATGTAGCAGGGTTGAGTTGGTTTTAGGAGAAATAGAAAATTTATTTAGGTCAGGTAACTTTAGAAAGCTTCTAGATTCTGCATTGTAAAGCTGCTTTAAATTAGACCATTTTGCAATCCTGGTTACTCCGTTATCGTCAAATATTAATTCCTGTTTTTTCAGTTAACCAAAGATTACGAACATTTTTTATGAGATATACAATATTGTAAAGTAAATACTTACCATCTACTGTTAACCATGGTTTTCATGGAACGAAAGTGTACATTTAAAAAAAAGCCTGATTGACACGATTCCTATCACATATAATAGCTTTTACATTTGCATTGACTGAATTCATTATTTGATTGGCTAAATTAATCTGTTCATACAAAAAATCAAATTTTAATTTTGATATTGGTATCATTTTAATTAACACCTTTGGACCCCTGTTCCCTAAAAATGTTTTAGACAATTCCACTAGGTTATCCTCCGATCTACCAAAAAGAGTTCCACCATGGTAAAAAAAACTTTTTTTTAACATATATTTCATCATTTAGTATGATACATAACTTCTGCTTATACGGAAGAGAGTTGAAAATTAAATAAACAAATTTGTTTTCATTAATATTTGAAATTTTTGAAGTAATTTGAGTCAGTGTAGAAATAGACGGAAGTTGATAATCATTTCTTAAGTGATTATATAATGCCCTTGGTGTTGAAAAATACACAAAAGAGCGTATAAATATTTAAGTTGTAAGCCAAACTGTTTTTGGTCCCATAACTGAAATACGTTGCATAATTACTTCTTTTTTATTGTCCATTTTCAAGGAGCTTAAAAAATCTCATCAAACTTAGACCAGGTGTCAACAGTTATGATTCGATTTACTGTTAAGCTAGAAATGTGACACTTAATTCCATAATGAAATGTTTCAAAGGTAAGATTTTCATAAATTTTAAGTACAAAAAAGGTATTCCATTAAAAAATTGCAGAGATTGTTTAACAACATAGCCATCAATCATAAACAATATAACTGGATATTGGTGATCACTGCTATTGATAAACAGAAGGAGGATTTTTTTATGGACGTTTTCCTCCCCGCATTATAACTGTATTAAAATTTGCAAGTCACTGTAATTCACGCATAACAGTATACTTAGTAACAACCAAGTTTGGAATAGCTTTTATCTATTTTTCACGCTCAATGTTATCACATGAAAACCGATACACTGATATTTTATTAACTTCGTTAGACATTTTGTTTTTTTCACTTTTATAGTTGGTATGAGAAGCATACACACAATATTTATTTGGCATGATAACTTAATCTGAATTTTATAAATATATTATTCACTTTGAATTAAATTTGAAAATCCATGTTCAAATTATATAAGTTTAATAACATTGTATTGTATTCCACTATTTAAATGTGTATCACAAACGACATGACATTTTATCTGGTCTGAACATGAAGAAATAATATTTTTTTGCCATAAAAAGGGTCTCCACAAAAAAATCCGGTTGCGCGATGAATAGTCCTGTAGTAGAGAACACTATGGTTAAAAATCAAATTTTAAAACCTTATATATTTTTTTTGCAATGAAATGTTAATTATCTTTATATGGAACAATTATCATTTTGGTATTTGTATATAAAATAGATCTCTTCGAAAACTTTATTTCTTCTTTTATTAACAAAATCATTGAATTTCATGCCTTTAAAAAATCAATATAATGTAATTATTATTATTTTAGATTATTTAATAAAACTGCGTACAGGTCATATAATAAAAAACTGAAACTTCACATTTTAATTAATAATATAAACAAAATAGGACTCAAAAATGATAAATTTTTATAGGGTCCCTAGAAATATTTTTCTTAAAAAATTGCATCAAGTATACATTTAAAAAAAAATTAATAATAACACTTATAAAATGTTTTTCCATAAATAACATAAATTTATTTTACCATAAGAAAGTTGATAAATATTGTTGAAAAAAAAGCAAAAGTTAAAACGAACAAACTTAAAATAGTAATATATTTAAGCTGTTACCGATAATTCGGTGAGTGTACCAAGTACGTTTAGACGGCTATATCGTTGTTCAGCATAGTTCACAGAAATAGCATTAACGACATCAGTAGGTAGTCGGTTCCAGTAAAAAGATACTCTGTTTGTTAAAAAATAATGCCGAGGAAAAACTAGTCATTTTGCGATTATATTTGGCAAAATTTCATTAATTAAATTTACTTTTTAAATTTCATTGAATAACTTATACATTGAATCAAGTCACCCCGAATCCGTCTTACAACTAAAGTAGTGAGATCTATCTAATTTATCTAATCTCTTCTCATAACATTGTTTTTTTAGTGGCAATATTAGTCTTAAAGCTTGGTGCTGTACCTTTTCTAAAATATTAATTTTATTTTTAAGACATGGAGACAACACAGATACAGCGAATTCAATTAACGGTCTTAAAAGTTGTTTATATAAGTTTTAGTAATTCACTATTTAAACTTAAAAATGTATTCTCAACATACCCAAAACTTTATTTGCTTTACTTGCACATAGAGTTATTTGATTTTTCCATTTCAAATCAGGGGTAAATACTACACCAAGATCTTTTTCTGCGACAGTGGCACTTAAAGATATATTTTGCGTAAAATAAATTCTTTTGGGGTTATTTTTACCAAAGTGCATTATCAAATACTTTTCAAAATGAAACTTTAATAGCCATTTATTGGACCAGTTGACAGCTTTATCTAAGTCATTTTGCAATAGGTTAACACTTGCTTCACGATCAACCCTTGATAATACTTTTGCATCATCGGCATACATCTTTGAAATATTAACAAAGTTTTTCTAATATAAATAATAAATAGCAAAGGGCCAATAAAACTTTCTTGTCTTAATTGAAAATCTAACATTCTGCTTCATTGAGATCTGGTAAAGTATACTCATTTTTAATGTTATGTTTCTTAATTTTTTTCGATTAATACAAAAGACGGTTTCTTTTACTAGAATTTTTTAATTCAACTAAAATTGGACCCGGTTTTTCCCTATTTTTTTTGACCGCAATCTTCTCCCATTTTTTGTTTTAACATCGGCTCCAAAATTTTTTTATTACCATTTCAGATTGTAAAGATATGTCTGCTTCGACTATTCCATAAACGATTACAATTTTAGTTCTTTTATTTTTTTCATTTATTCATTGACAGCTGCATTTACTAACGATAGAATTTTTAATTGGTAGGAAATCTGCGGAATTCTCTTCCGTAGACAACTCTTTTCTCTAAATT